AAAAAAGCAACATTACAAATGACTTTCATTGCAGATAATCACGGTATAAGAAAAAAAAATTAAGTGGTTTAAGTTTAATGTGAATTCAAGCCACCCCTTGTTATTTTTCTCTCCAGGCAGGACGCCAGGTTTGTGTCTGTGTTAACAGTGAGGCGGTCATTTGTCAAAGGCCCTTGTGTAAATCATACATTTATAAATCTTACTCAATCCTTTGCAGGTACATAATAGCCATTGTTAATGTTGCAGTCATCAGAAGACACACACCCTTGTACACAAAGAAAGAAAAGAGAGAGAAAACAGCCGAAGAAGAGGATGAACTTAATGAACTTGAGCTGCTCTGTGCATCAAGACGCCAAAAAATTTAGAGCGGCTGTGAACCTGGGAAGACTCTACAACGCTAAACAAAGACTAAATACGGAATGTAATGATGTGACATGAAAAGGAAGGAAGAAAGTGTGGAGGGGCTGTTGTTGTCATTAGGAGCTGGTGTGTCAAGTAAGCTCTCATTCTGAGCTTTGTAATTGGATGGTGGGGAGCAGGTGCTGGAGAATTTGCAGGAGAAAGGAAAGGTTACCCCGAGCACCAAAAAAAAAGAGGACAGAGGAGAATCGAGATGGCGCCCCGTTATTTTCCGCTCTGAGGGAAAATGAGGAAGCTGTTTCCAAGGTTATGTGCTGGTGGAGAACAGTGAAGGGATCCACAGAGCAGGACGTCCACACAGCAGGGCACACACTCCCACAGAAACGCACACATGCAGGCTCCTGCTTGAATGTATGTACTGTATAACACAGGCCGCCCAGTACACTCACTCATGACAAGGGCGTACCTAAAGACACACACAGAAATGCTTTCACAGGGCACACACCTAATGCACAAGGGCATGCATGCATATATGCGTGGCTGATGCACGCACTCACATGGCACATGCAAAGACATAAAAGTCAGTGGAAATATACATGAGCACAATTAGTCACACATTAGTCAGATTTCTTTGATGACATTCACAGAAACACAAAAGATGTCCACAAACACATGCATAAATACAAGCACACATACATACTGTAAGTACAAACACACCTAAGCTTGCATTGTGGTTGAGAAACTTGTGGGCATCTGCCAGCATGCTTTAAGTGCTCATTCTCTGGGGCCCCAACCTTTCTTTTCAGCAGCAACACTGCAATTTGGGTGTGCCGTTGGGCCAGAGATAAGTATAGGCTGACTAATATGCACTTAGGACCCAGGGAGAAATACTTAGGGCTAAATGTTTAATTTGTGTTTGTACAACACATGTCCAATTTGGGGGCTGGTGTCTTTTTCAAAGAGCCCGACAACAAATAATTAGGACTCTCCGGATTGGCCACAAGCTTAAAATGTTGGAGCGACGGTTTTCCGATGAAGGTGAATGACATCCTCAAAAAGATAGCATATGGAAACACTTAAATGTGCAACACCGTGGTCAGATGGAAGATACATGTTTTGCTCAACATGCAGGGTAAATAAAATAACAGTGCTGCTATGGGGGTTTGGTGCATCCTAAAAACGCAGATCACATCAGGGTTCTTTTTCCCATCAGAGTGTAGTGAGTATCTGAGGAAGGCCAAATTCAGTCTCAATATCCAGAACATTTGTCCTCTTTCTTCTTTTAAATTTCTTTCCCCACCACTGTCAGATCTCTTAGTCTCTACTGTTTTTCTACCACTGAAGAGTCCCTGTGCATCAGTCTGCAGCAAAAGGCCTCTCAGAGTCCCATGAAATACATGTGGCATATTAAATAACATGTGAGCGATGGCTACATTTCCAAGTATAAGAATTAGATCCTGAGGTTAGAACTGCATTGCTCTACATTAACGCCAGTGTTCGCATTTTCAGAGACTTAACATTGAGGCAAAGAAAGACAAATTAAATTTCATATTTTCAGAGCAAAATTTATTTTAAAGATAAATGTCTTGTAATGATTTTTATTAAGAGATAAACTTTGGTTTGATGCTGCAGAAGAATGAGGGAGGGAAGTTATCGGAAAATGTAATTGACTACATCAAATGAGACAATCCTAAAATTAAATAAAACCATTATAAGTGAGGAGACAGGCCTAAAAATGAAGATGCATTTTAGTCTTAACTGAGAAGATAAATTTGTGGGATTTAAATGCACAAAATGACATTTAATCACATTCGCCCTGTCATTTATTTTAATTTATTTTATATCACAGGTGGCGATTAATTAGGATTTTTCCCAGATGTGATGGGCATTTTACGCACGGTTCAGAATAGTGATTTCATGCTGCTGACAGAAGAGTAATGGAGCACACAGTGACCGGCCGCTGCATGCAGGCTTGTCCGCCTGTTGTCAGCGCTGATTCCCACAGAAGAAGAAGAGGAGGAGAAGAAAAAGAAAAAAGAAAAGCTGCAGGTCTCCCCCAGACAGCGGGGAGAGCGCAGCCATGCAGCCCGGGACAATGTGCTGAATTGGCAGCCTATATATAAGTCTGCCATTTGGACACTCTAATGCCACTTTACCTTATGAGGGAACTTCAACCCGCAGCACCTGCTCAAAACAAAATGCCATAGGAGATCAACTTCAGCGACCCCCCTGCTCGGATTGTTTTTCAGACAGACACTCTCACTTACAAGACACAGAGGGGGGAGGAAGGGGGAGGTGGTCTATAAATTGTTCTGCCAGAGTCCAAACAATTAAACAACTTGTTGGAAATTGTGATTTACTGCGCAGGCCGCTGTGGGCATGCCCAAACTGGCAACTGGAGAATCTGTCAAGTCGGGCAATTATAACTCTGAATAGAGGAGTGATTTGATGTGCAAACAAAAACGTGGATGCGTAAAACAATTAAAGCAGATGCTGGGAAATTGCGCATTCACAGCAAACTGCCAAAGTGATTAAAATGTAGTGGTTTCAGTTATTTACAAATCAGTGGAACACTTATCCGGACTTTGCGTTTCCTCTTTAGCGGTTTTTCAGACTCGCTTTTTTTTTTTTTTTTTTTTGTCAAGCATATGTGATCTTTCTCTGAGTGTTTCTCTAAACGCTTCTTATCTGCAGCCGAGCAGAGGCTTATCTCGGAGGTGTAGCGTGGCTCTGAATATTGGGAACACCCTGAAGTGACTTTATCGGTGCTCTCCAGGCCGCCGCCGTGCGCCTTGTCCTCCGGTACCCCCTGTCTCATCCTCAGTGTGAACCCACGCAGGACAAACTTTCACACAGGAGACAAAAAAAAACCCCGCTGCCTGTCCGAGCACCAGGCTCCTCACCGCGGATTAGAAACCGTCCCTGCCCCGCATGGCTCAAGTTCACACACCCGCAATTAACTTCACACATAAGCAGCGCTGTCACTCTATCAGCCTGTGTAGCTGTCAAGTGAAATGGACACTTGTTTTATCGCCAAGAAACTTCAGACACACGGTGCAAACATTCAACCTGATATAAAGAGAATCGTGTAGGAGGGAGGAAAAAAAGACACTTACTGACTAATTTCTCAACCCTCTCGCCGTGCTGGGACACTGTCCTGTTTTCTCCCGGTATTGTCTCTCAATGGATCCGTGTTTCGGGCTCCGGGTCTATTTTAATTTATGACTCACGCATTCTTCTAGGGTCAGTCGCCGTGACCTCCAAGTTAACTTGGGCCCGAAAGACGGCACTCTTTGCCCAGCTTTCCTCTCCTCTGCGCTCTGTTTCTCTGTATTGTAGTCCAGTACATGTGCAGCGTGGAGATGCAGAGTACCGGAGTTTCGCTTCGGGCTGAAATGTGCACTGTGGAGGTGCAGCGCAGACGGGGACGCGCATGAGGACCACAGAGGTCCGGCAGAGCGCGACACGATTCTGGACAGAAGGCTACCGCTGTGTGGCCGCAGAGGAAACTACTGAAAGTTTGCACCCACAGACTGCACAGGGTCTGAGTGATGAGACGACTTGAGGAGTCTTTTGTTTCCTTGAAACTAAACTCCAAGCTTGTGCTTTAAAATTCAAGTTCAGGGCTGTTAGAAAGTTTTTAATTTGCTTTTAGTGATTTTTAGGCAAAGCTGTTTTTGCACACAATCTTTCTAAATGTCTCTTAATGACTTCTGTACCTATAAAAACATTTTCTGAGGTTAAAGAACCACTCACCCACTTTTGTTATTAGTGCATGACAGTGATGGAGTGGAGGGTGAAGTTTAGGCTCTGCTTTTCTTGTTCAATATAAGTGGATCTTTCATATTTGAAATTAACCTTGAATACTTTTAATTTGGATTAAACAAATTACACCGAGCAAAAGAGATGGAAATGCACTGACTGACACATGTTTGGAAATCAGATTTGTGTGCGTGTTTGTGTAGCTCAGTGAAAGAGGGCACGTTTATTGGTATGATTTGGGGGTTTTTTTGTTTTTTGTTTTTTGTTTGGGACGAAAGTGGCGCAAATTAGCAACTTTTTGGGAAGTTTAAATAAACATGTCGCTAAGTTTGAGGCTGGTTTCACAACCACGATGTTTGGGTGTGTTTATTATAAACGTAATGATGGTCATTATAAGAGAAAATAAACATTATTTTTAATAATTTGTAATTGTGTCACAGAGTACGACTAATAAATACATACCTATAACAGATCACACATCCATTATAGTGGTTATTATAAATAGTTATTGCTTTATATAAACTTATTTTAACAAAATTGCAGTGGCCTGGTCAAATTATATGTGAGTTACAATAATGGTAAATTATTCTGCAGATGAGGGTATTTTTGACTGTTTTTCCCTATAATACTCTCACACAAAACTTCCCTAAAACATTGTCCTGTGAGTTACTTTGTCGGGTCATGTAGGGTTGACTGAGCCTAATCACGGTTCAGCAGCAGGTTTAAAGAGTGATGCCGCCCGAATCTGCTGCTGTCATCGCTGTTTGTTGTGGAGCACAGACAGGCCGAGTGCGCAAAGACTTTTCAAAACAAGCAGCCCAGAGGACGCGCCGGTCCCGGAGCTGCCGTCCACACTGATGCAACAGGACTCTTCTTACCTGCATTCACTTATTTGACATGCGCTGCGTGCTTCTTGCAAGCTGGAAGGTTGTTATGGCTGATGATAGGAGAGTTTCGGCGCTGAGACGAAACAGGAGTCAGTTCAAACAGCCTTCAAATCCCGTGCGTAAAGTCACCATTGCTGGAGCGTGTCGGGGACTTTGGTAACTCCTCTGTTTGCGCTCCGCCGAGGATCGCAAAGTAAAAGAAAACACTTCGGCGTCGTTGTCAGAAGTGACACTGAGCCCGTGTAGCTGGCATTCGGAGGATTTTCAAAAAGTATTTTAGGTTATTTCCCGTCCGGCACTATGTGGAGGTTAAGTGAGAGTGCTGGGCACTGTCGGGTAAAGAGGCAGAGGCAGGATAACCCCTCCTCTCTCTCCCTCTCTCTCGCTCTCTCTCTCCCTCTCTCTCCCTCTCTGGAGGCTATTTATCTGTTTCTATCCCTCTGTCTCACTTTCTTTGTGTACATTGTTTCATGAAATGTAAAACATCTTATACATTCGTGCTTTTTTCGAACTTTTCTTCCTCTTCTCCTCCTCCTCCTCCCTCCATGTGCTCGTGTGTGAAGGCGCGTACTGGTCACCTGCTGATCAGCTCCATTAGAAACGGATTTGTGCTTTGATTCCCTTGATTTAACTGTGGACTTTTTTTCCTTTTTGGTTTGCGTGTCAGAAATTACCCAAAACTAGAAAACACACAAATAATGATGTGTGCAGATTCGTGTTCTAGACCGATTTAAAACCAATCAACTCATTTTTAAATGCGCGCTGGTGGACAGATTTAGCCAATAAAAGCCAAACAAAAGTTTTCGTTGAGCAAAAGTTCCCCACGTGTAATCAGGACATTTCTCATTAGTTGTCATTTGTAATTAAATAATACATTTTACGGTCAAATTGGGAATGACATTTGAGACAAGTCGTTGACTAAAAAATAAATAAATAAATAAAATAAAAATAGTCTTTCTCGGAATTTTCCTCTGTCTTCATCTATTGATATTCTGGGCTTAATCTTCAAGGGAAAAAAAGATTTTTATTAAAACTACTACAAGAAAATGACTCGCCTCTGCATGACTACTAGACAAAGCGCTTAGATGGCATTGATGGGAACAAGTCCAAGGCAAACGCTTCTAATATCCCGATGATTGTGTGCAGGAGTGAAGTTTGAGCGTCCTGTCGGAGCTGTGAGCGCGTCTGGGCTCCGTCCTCATTACGTTTACTCTTACGCCACCTTTTGGGGGTTTTAGTGCAGGTCCTCCAGCAGAAGGTTAACTTTACAATTAGGAGTCCCCACGAAGTGACGGCTTCTGGACAGAGAACACGTGATGAAATGAGAGTATAAAAAGTCTGCGTGCCTACATCTGTATTGTTGATTATTTTGTCTCAATTTGCAGCCACTGTTGGTCACATTCTGTTGTTTAAAATGTGTTGTATCAATAAATGTGACCAGATCTGCGCTGACAAATATGTACAGGTTCAAACCTTAGTTTAATTATGCCCGAAATTTAAATTGTTATTTTAGGCTATTGAAAATATAATCTTTAGAACGTTCATCTTTAAACTGGAAGGGTAAAGAATGTTGTTCTTATTAATTAGATTTTATTTTTCATTTAGTCATTGCACATCTTGGTCCTGGGTTGATGGATCTATACAGGCTTTGAAAAAATACATTTTATTCTATCAAAAAACTACCTGCATCAAAGATATTCAATGTGTTTAAATCACAAATGATTAAAGTATTTCGTCCCATTTAAAATATCTCTGAAAAGTTAGCCAAAGTTGAGTAAATAAACTTACCAGAGGTACTTAGTTATACGTATTTTTAAGACATGTTCCATACCACCAATACATCTTTTAAGGTATATGAAAAACCTCTGCTTGGAATAGTATTTTGTGTTTGTAATTTTTTTTGGTTGTTTTTTTTTTTTTTTTTCATCAATCAAACAGCCTCCTTTTGCCATCCTCTGTACATAATAGGCCTATAATGTGAGGGCCTCATTTCACATTTTCCTTTTTTTGGTTCTGGCCAAAACGGTAGCCTAAATGTAATTATCAATACAACTATATGAATATATTATAATAAATGGAGGGAGTGCTGCTTTATTTTGATGATCAGTTTTGTCATTTAAATGCGCCGCAACGCGACCCTCCGCAGGGCGGCAGCACTGAGCTAACAGAACCCACCGCAACACCAGCGAAGAAGAGCACTGCGGAAGTGGCGACACGGAGGATTGTTGACAAATCTAGCTAGCTTTGGCTAGGTGGCATGATAGTTTATCGACGTTTTAGCCAAGCTGTCGTTCAGAATGAGTTATCCAGAGGACAGGCATGGAACAAAACGACCTGCATCTCCCAGTCAAGTGAGTAAAATTATAAAAAGTGAAGTTAATTCGTAGGTTAAAGCTATGGAATACTCAGATATGGTTTGCATTGTGTTAGCCAGGTTGCTAACGATATGGTACAACTGCTTTAATATGACACCTGAGCACATTGCAGTAACAACAAAGTCCAGTCACCTTATTTAGGTTAACCTAAAACTTTATTGCATAAAATGTACTACACATTGAATTGTGTTATATTAAACTGATTTACGACAAATGGGTTCGGTTCGGGGATAAATGATTGCACGTTTGACAAGTTTTGATGAAATTTTGACTGTAGGTCAATGATTACTGACCACATCACACGTCATCTACCTTTTTATTTACTACTATCTATTTTTTGTAAGTATGACCACGTAGCATTTAGTCAGTTTGCAACTAAAGAAACAAATAGATTGAGGACAATCTGCTATCTTCATGATATTAAGTCCATCACAACATCCCTGCATCCAAAATATAGTCCTAAAATGTTAAACCAACAATCCAAATCGCTAAAGTATAGACTGCCTGCCTGTAACAACTATTTTACTGATGATTCATTTATCAATTACTTAAATAATCAGTTCATTCATGTGATATTATATCTAATATGTTCTGTTTAAAAAGTTACAAAATAGATAAACTGGAAATTTCAGCACTGCAAAAACTAATTAAAAAGAGAAAATCCAAATTCACGGCCGTTGTCTTTAAGTTATGTCTATAGTCGGTTTGTCAGATAATGCTGCGATTCCAAAATCAGACTTTTAGCAGTAGTTAATAGGGACATCAGTAGCAGGACATACTAACAAGAGATTCCCAGACAGTTACGGACCATCACCTTTATACTATTTCTGTCTATGAAAAACTATTGATGTTCTAGAGGGACGTTTTAAATAGAAAGTCAAACATTGTCTTTTCGTTTCTGTTTCGATCAAAGTATCTTGAAGTGGATATAAGTAGCTCTCCAGCTTGGTGACAGCAGGACATCCATCTATCCATTATCTATACACCGCTTAATCCTCTCTAGGGTCGTGGGGGGGCTGGAGCCTATCCCAGCTGACTTAGGGCAAAGGCAGGGGACACCCTGGACAGGTTGCCGGTCTATCACAGGGCTACACTTAGAGACAGACAACCAAACACACTCACATTCACACCTACGGACAATTTAGAATCACCAATTAACTTTAGCATGTTTTTGGACCTTGTGGGAGGAAGCCAGAGAACCTGGAGAGAACCCATGCTGCAAGGGGAGAACATGCAAACTCCACGCAGAAAGATTCCGGTGCCCGACAGCAGGACAGAGTTTCGTAATTTCTCAAGCTCAGTGACATTTGTGCTGATTAGCTCTTACTATCACAGAGGCAGCTGTTGTACACAAGACATTTCAATCCAGTGATATGAAAAGCAGTTAATAAACCACACTTTAGTCTCTCATATTTAAGCTCTTTCCATAGCAGCTTTATTGGGAATTTGGTTGTGTTAATTACAATACATGTGAGCACAGAAGAAGGAGAGAAATAAACAGCCTCACAGTCTCTGCTTGCTCATTGTGCTGTGCTCCTGTGTTGTGGTACTGTAACTTTGCTCAGTGTCAAACCACACTTTTTGTTTTGTGATAATTTGAAGTACTTCCATACTGTTAAAGCCTTGGGACTTTGGAAACTTTGACACTGAACCAAGTTGGACTGGAGCCAAAAACGACTGATGCTGTTTTGCAACAATTACGCAATGATACTGAAGAAAAGCAATTGTTAAAATAAATTGAAGTTTTTAAAAAAAAACATGCTTTTGGACTAATTTTGACGTTGATGCATTTTCAACATCATCAATTATGTCGACTAACTGTGACGGCTCTTTGTAAGACAAAGAGAAGCAGCTATTAACATTTGAGAGCCTTAAACCGTCAGCTGTTTTGCATTTTCTCTTTAAAGGGCCTTAAGGTGTTATTTAATTATACTGCTTTGTAAAAAACGTAATAATTTGGAGGCATTCTGTTGTGGATTAAGTTTTGCTCTTAATGTTCTTCTTCAGTTCAAATGGTGACAATATTTTATGTTGGCAGGATGGTTCTACCCAGTGGGCATCCGCTGATTTGGGAAGTGACGAGAGGAGGCAAAAGTTTTTGCGGTTGATGGGCGCTGGCAAGGTTAGTTTGATGTATTGCAGATCACCTTGTTTTAAATTCACTTTATTGCCTCCCCCTTGTTTTTTGGTAATTAATTGATTGCTTTTTTAAAAGACTGTTTTAGTTTGTTGCTGCCAGAAGTTGTGACGATTAAGAGAAAAGGGGATTGTGTTTTTTTTCCAGAAAGAACCCACTGGGCGCCTGGTCATTGGTGATCACAAGTCAACATCCCACTTCCGTAGTGGTAAGCTTTTTTTATTTAGCTTTTGTAAAATGCAGTGTTTTGCAAGACATGTCCAAGCTAATGTCCCATGCCACTTACCCATGCTGCATCATCCTTATGCCCAGTGCAATTAACCCGGCTTCCCTACTACACATCTGCCACACAGATCTATCCATGCATGGATAGACCTGCAATGGCTGGGTGTGCCTGCTGTGACTGGTGTCTCCTCTGCAGGTCAGGAAGATAGGAAGATCAATGAACAGCTGGAGATACAGTACCAGCAGGGCATGGATGGGAAGCTGTCCGGCCGCAACCGGAGACACTGTGGTCTGGGTTTCAGCGAGGTGAGTGCTCGTCTCAGGCCAGAAGAGAGAAAAGGGAAGGCCACAGACTGGACAGGGCACATCCAAGAAGAGTTTTTTTTTTTGTTAGTTTTTTTTTTTTGAATATTGTAAAAATTACAGTAGATACACACCACATTAAAGGAACTGGATGATGCACAGACTGTGAACTGTAAATGTATACCATGTCTAGTGAAGCAATGTTGGTGCAACAATCATTACTAAGTGTTCAAACGTTTTAGCAGGACAAAGCTAAACCATCCTTATGTTGAGATTGTCAAAGAACATTTTCCTCTGCATTTAGCAACACTTACTGCCCGCATGACAGTTTTACCTAAATAAAATATGCTCACCTATGATGTAGAAGCTTTTTTCTTTTAGTCTGTCAGATTCCTGATGGAAGACTCTTTGAAGCTGTGTTGAGGCTGAGGGCCTAAACACACCAACGTAGACCTGGAAAAACTAACAATTTAAGTGACTTATTGCAGTTATCAGTCCTTCTCATCTAAACTTTAAGAGATAATGTGCCAAATTGCGTTTTACATTTTTTATGATATTTTTTGCTATATGTGTAATGTTACATTGTTGGGGGGTCATATTAAATCCCATCTGTTTACACTTTGGGTTTCTAGAATGTTCTGTTGTCAGACAGATCACCTCTGTGTGGACAAAAGAAAAAACCTTCAGTAAATCATCTTTCTGTCATCTACAGCCTGACCCAGAGCCAGAGTCATTCCCCCCACCACCAGCGGACGATCAGGAAAAAGAAGCTGAGCCTGAGAAGTCCGTCAGTGAAAAAGAACCCACAGAGGCTCAGGACAAAGACTGCGAACCCGACTCAAAGGAAAAAACATCGGAACAGGCCAAGCCCAACTCGGATAGTAGCAGCGACGAACGGAAACACAACTACAAAATGGCCTTTGTGAAATCAACATAGTGCTGCGAGGGAGAGAGATTAGTTTTTGTAATGTCAAATTTGTACATTTTGATGTTATTTGTTTAACAGTAGACAATAGTCACCCTCTACTTTAGTCCTGTTACTGTGTAGAAATAGGGCACCGGGGCTCCTTGTTTAGCTACATCCTGATGTGCATGTCGTCAGAGATTCCAGTCTGCAGGCTGAAACATCAGCTTTCAGCGGACCGGATGGCGAATGGTCCACTTTTTATTTTGTTTGGACATTTTAACAGTAACTGCATTGGCTCTGAATTATGTTGGATTAAACTGGATTACTTGCCATTCAGCATGACTGGTGTGCACATTGTGAATTTTGTGATTTCTTTGTTTGAAAACCAATAAAAGGAAGTCTCAGTTGTAACGTTTGCTGTTCTTAGCATTACAAGAACAGCTGCCCTCAGAGAAAAGGAGGTTTAAGATTGTTTGCATGATGTGTACTTGTGGACTAAACACAAAATCACTGTGTGCTCGTTTTGTGCAGGGAAGCCCTCTTCAGCAGAAGGCATTTATTCAAACATTGACAGTTTGTGAAGGGGGCTTTTCCACAGCTGATAAGAACAAATCCACCTTTTCAATCAGGCAGGAATTTTGATGCTGGTTTTTGAACACATTGAAGGTTGTTGCAGTAAAACTATAGTAGTTGTGTATGTAGAATAGAATAGAACTTTATTGATCCCTTTGGTGGAAACCTCAGGGAAATTGCTGTGTGTGATCATTGTGGGGATCATTTGAATCATAACTAATAAATTGTGTCCACAAAGGGGAATGTAAAAATAATCCAAAAAGCTCACATTGGAGATGATCTCAAGTGAAGTTGATTTGGATTTGTCGGAGTTTTTTTTTATCAAAAAGGTGATAAATGTTATATTGCTTGTTAGTGCCACATTAGCAGTGCAGCCGTCACAATGACATTGTTAGTTTAAACAAAGAGGAAATCAGACATAAAAGCGCCCACAGTGTTGTGGCTCACACAGTGTTTGTGAACATCAGGCGGATGCGCTGTTGCGCAACACAGACCGCAAGTACAGGAAGCGTAGAACCGGCTGGCAGAGCGAGGAGGTGAGACACTTCTTTTAACCGTTTGCATAAAAACATAAAAAGAAATGTTGAGTTTACGGATACATTCTGATGGATTACTTTACTATTAGTCTGATGTCCAGATGTTTTGTTGAAGACACGCCTGTCTCTGGGGACAGACTGACCGCAGCTCCTGGGGTCCTGTGGATGTTGTGACAGAGTGTATTTTAACCCAAAACACTTTCTGCTGTTGTAATCCGAACCAAGTTGTTGAATATAAATGACAGAATGATTAATCTGTCCACAGTTGTGTAATATTTGTTCTGTTTACTGGAAAATGGCTTCTGCCACTGTGTGGCAAGTGTTTACCTCCATCTCTCTCTCTATACCTGTCCTTGTTCTTCCTGTCCGCCGGTAATGTTGCTCTTGCAGTCAGAGCCGCGGTGGCGCAGTGAGCTGGATGTGAGTGACCAGTCATTGAAATAAATCTGCCATGAAGGCTGAAGATTTATCTCTCTCTCTACTTTTTCACCCGAATGCAACGTGCTGCAAAGTCTTACAACTCATCATAACCTCAGAGTGGTTCCGAAGTTTATTCAAAAAACAGTTTGTGTCCTAATCAACGAGACACAAATAAAACGAAAGTAAAACAAAAAATTACGATCCACAGTCCTGTGACTTCACTGCAGAAACTTTTACTTTTGTCGCACTTTACAGTAGAACATGTCCAACATCTGTTGCAGTGTTGACGCAGGTACATCCGTCCATCCATTATCTATACACCCCTTAATCCTCATTAGGGTCATGGGGGGCTGGAGTCTATCCCAGCTGACTGAGGGTGAAGGCAGGGGACACCTGGACAGGTCACCAGTCTATCACAGGGCTACACTTAGAGACAGACAACCAAGCACACTCACATTCACGGACAATTTAGAATCACCAATTAACCTCAGCATGTTTTTGGACTGTGTGGGAGGAAGCCAGAGAACCCGGAGAGAACCCACGCTGCACGAGGAGAACATGTAAACTCCCAGATGCCGGGGACGCGAACCGTGAAGCAGTGAAGCAACAGTGCTACTAACTGCGCCACCTTGTAGCCATTAAAGAAAAGACAAAATTCACAATAGTCACTCCAATAACTAGAAACTAAAAAAAGTATTTATAAAAAAATGCTAATTTACAATTTACTGAAATAAGACATTGCTTTTGAATTGTGGCTAAAAAAGAATAATTTTTAAAAACAAACAAAACTGTTCTGGACAAATCAGAGCACTTTGCTGATGAGCAGTGGCCACAATCTAAATACCTGTCAACAGGTGCAGAAGTCTGGTTGAGAGTAACAGAAAACACTTGATTGCAGTGATTGGCTCAAAGGGTTGTTCAACAAAATGTTAGTTTACAGGTCCCATCATGCTTGTTTACTTGTTTTTTGTTTGTTTGTTTGTTTGTTTTTAATATTTCTGTTGAACCACAATTCAAAAGCAATGTCATGAGTTTCATAACCTTTTTTAAATTTATTACTACTTTTGTCAATTTCAACTTATTTCAGTGACAGCTGTTTTTTTCCCTCTATAATTGGAGGGTATGAATACATATAACACTGTGCAGCAGAGCAGGCTGCAGTTCGAGGATTGTACTTGTATCACTGCTCTCCTTGGACCTCTGTTGCTACCAGCCAAACTAGTTAAATGTTTAAAAAAAGAAAAAGAAAAAAGAGAGAGAGAGAGAGAAAATTAAAGCTTTGATTCAAGGTGTATTCCTCCAGGCACATTTGTAGTTTTACAGGCTATTCCACAAAAATAGTACTTTCTAATGAACAAGTTATGGTTTTAAATGTTTACTCCATCCCAAATATTACTTTCTGTCCAAGTATTCATCATTTTAAAGGGTTATTCCATCCAGTTGAGTGTTCATACTAACTAGCTTTTGGCTACCATGTTATCTGGCCCAAAACAGAGTTAATGAAAAATGAGGGTCTTAAAAATGGGGTCCTGAAAATGCAGCTTCTTCTGCTGCTGACACACACTACTAGTTGGTGCTGACTCCAAAGGTCACCGTGTGCACATCTTTGTGAAGCCCTGCAGCAGAAAACAGCTGCTAGGTAGAGATAACAGAAAAAGCTTTGATTGAGAACACCTTGCACCAGCGAGCAAATTAGATGACATTAACTTCATAAAGAGTAAAGGATAGCCTCAATGATATGATGCATTAATGTGAAAACAATGTTTTACTGCTGTAGCTCCGTTTGGTGCAACTCATTTTTAACTAAGTTGTTTTGGATCACAATGGCTATTTTAATTTACTTTTCAATTGATTCATTCATTTTAAGTTGAAAAAATTTCAGAATTACCCAGAGCCCAAAGTGACAACTGTGCAATGTTTCTTGATTTGTACATGTTTTCTGGTGATGGAGCCCGAACAAAGTGGGAAGTTTCAAACTCCCCAGAAGTGCTATGTCCTCTGACAGTCTAAAGTTCCTCTGGTTGATGATTTAACTTCTACATCTCTGTCTGTCAGTGTTACGAGTTTAGGAGTTTTTCCATGAAAATAATCCCTTTCCTGTCATTTTTTCTCAGAGAAAATGATATACTTGTATTTCATCCGTCATATTGTTGATTTGAATAAGCTAATTGAAGCTCATTCTCATACTTCAGGTGTTTTTTCCCAGATGTACAACCTGAGATTCTAATCGTGTGCATGGGTGAGTTGAATTTTAGATTCAGCTGTTTTTGATTTTTCTTTATTGTTTAAACGTCTTTGTCATACAGTCATATGCTATGTATTTGTAATTATTATAACTATTATGTTTTGGAGAAACTAAAAGTTCCTCCACACTGAGAAATTTCCCATTTTAAAGCACGTATAGAGTTCAGCCACTGTACAGACTGTAATTTGTCTCTATAAGGTGTAAGATAGGTCTTACCTTGACAATGGATGTGACTGAAGAGACAGAAGAGTGTCCTGATAGAGCTCAGCTTCCTGCCTCATCCTGCTTGTCCATGAGAAGTGATGCCTCCATGCAGAATCGTCACGACTTCACCGAAGATGCACCTGATAGGTACATAAAGACTGTTTAGTTCTTTGTAGTGATTGCATTCATCAGGTACACTTATTTAGATGTTTCTTTATTTACATGTATCTTAGATATCAGTTTCTGCACTGTAAAGTCACTTGATGTGATGGTAGCTATGTAGCTGCATGTCTCTGATATAGATGAGAGTAAAGGATTGTTAGCTGTTACATGAAACACATAAAAACTGATACAGATTGTTGATCATGTGTTGTCATTGTCAATATTTCAGCAGATCGGTGCAGTTTGAAAACTCGAGCACACCTGCTGTATCCTGTGTGTCTATGGAAGGTAATTCCTCCATGAAGGCTCGCCCTGACTTCACCAATGAAGACCC